TATATATATATATATATAATTACGTATATATATATTAACACACAGATATTTATTTATTTATCTTCGTATTTATTTTTGTCTAAATCTATATTCTTATATGCACGTAGCTACATAACACTGAGAACTGAGTTTAATCGCTCTTAAAACGAATTTAGAAAAATGCGGCTAAAGAAAATTTAAAGGCTAAAAATGACGTTAAATTAAAAAATACAGCAACTGATCCTGAGCAAAAAAGTTTACCTTCTTTTCCTCCAGACGTCTGACTGTACATTTTAAATCCAATGCATCAATATCTTTTCCGTCACCTTCACTTTCAGGAAAACAAAGAATATCTGTATAAAAAAGTTCCTTCGATGAAGATTCCTTAAAAGCAAAGAGAAATGTAAACTGAAAATTTTCCGGAGAAACAAGTTTAAACATTCCTTTTTGAAATTAGGATTTGCTCTTTATCATATTCTAGCACCGAACCTTGATCGACGACGGTTGCAGAATTTCAATTAATTCACATTTCTTGGCACCAAAATGTAAATCCAGTATTAAGTCGTCGACGAGCTTTGTCAGGGCATATTCAAACGTAACACTAAGGCCAAATAAGCTAAACAAGACCGAGCTTCAGTATAACCGCATCCTATTATTACAATAAAAAGTGCAGAACAATTTTGCTGTAAGAACAGACCGCAACTGATCCTCGGCAAAAAATTGATTAAAAGTCTCCCTATATTCTCGCAAAGTACCATCAGCTTTTAATTCGAAGGATTTCGCTTTCTCAAAGAACATCGTTGCCTTGTTTTTAAAAGATTCGATTAAGTCAGGGACTTTCTTTTTAGCCACCAAACTGAAAATTGTACTTTATTCTGATGTAAATGTAGCAAAAAATCTTTTCTCGTTATACTGGTTAACCTAGATATTAGAGTTAATTGGAATGAGGAAACTTCAAGAAACGGAAGACAAACCCTTCGGAAATCACCAATTCCCCCAAGCTGTCTCTGTGCGGCACGACCAATAGGAATTTCTTTGCACTAACAAGTATCGAAATCTCTGAATAAACTGACATTAAGAAGACAACAGCAATGAAGAAAAAAATACCGCTTTCTAAAACAAATTCGCTCTGAGAATGAATCGAATAAAGAACAAACTTTTTGTAATTGCACTCCTGACAGAGTTGCTACTACAAGCAGACAGCGAATTACGCTTCCGAATTTCACACAGTTTTACATCGGTGTCGGAAAGTGATACTTCCGAAAAATTATTATCATCCATCATAGTTTGTTTTTTTAAAGCCTGCGAGTAATCGGGGGCTGAAAATGAAACAAAGACGCAGATTATACGAAACAATAATGATTAAAGTGTAAACAACTGACGACAATTAAGCGAAGGCAAAAGACCTACGGAAATTGGCATTGCAACACAAGTTTGCCTTATGACACGTTTCAGCTAGTTGTGCGAGTTCTTCTGGAGGAATTGGTTTGCCATCAGAGTTATAATTAAGCCCTACAAGTATTCGCAAATCTTTAAATAAGATACAAACGATGTCTTAATTAGATGTAAAAAAACAAACACAATTAAGCACTCTAGTTTGTATCCAGCAAAAAAGACAGTAACTTTAAAAAATTTTCAAGACTCGCAGAAGATAAATTTCACTGACAAGATAATGAAGGCTTTCATACATGAAACAACTAGATGACCTAATTACCAAAAAAATATCTTCTTTGTTGCTACATGCAAAGAAATACGGCACTCTTGTCGATTGACGGCCCCAGCGCGCTGATTG